ATTAACATTATGCAACACTTATTTTAGGTGACTTTCGTTCATTAAACATGGTTTTTAATTTATATTTTCACTGAGTATTCTCTGATATTATTACTGAATGATCTGTGACAGTAATTGTTTAATTGTTCCCAGGAATGGAGGGAAAGAAAATTAGAAATTGGAGGCAGACTGTTGTCTGTGTTAAGAACACTGGTTGAGGAATTTAGTCTGGGATCATATCCCAGCTCCACTGTTATTAACTGTCTGACCTAAGTCAGTTAAATAATCTCAGGCCAATCAGACTCAGTTTCTTGGTCTGTGAAATGGGGATAATAATACCTACCTCCAAGGAGATTGTATGACTTTGACACAAGCCGGTGTAAGAGAGCTTACATCGGTATGTTCTTATTGCACAGTTTTTATGACCATTTTATGACCATTTGTCTATCACATGCATTTAAAACCCAGTGTAGATTATTTCAGAGTGTGAGGGTCACTTGGAAGTTTTAGAAAACAGCCATTGTGGTCAGTGTTGCTCTTTTGCGTGTTGTGTGCAATCTGTCCTGAGACCGTGGACAACAGATGGGTGTGTCGTCATCCGATGTCACACTCCTGGATCCTTTAACTTTCTCCAAGGACTTTATCAGTAACCCTTGTGACGCTCTCTGTGGCCTTTCTCTACCCCAGAAGCATCCACTGTGTTTGGAAAAAGAATGAGACCACACCTGACTTTCTGCTTCTGCCTCATGAGGATGCTGTGCTAATACCCATTTATCGGAAGGTCAGGCTCTGGCAAGGGCAGCCACAGGAAGCGCAGCCACTAACCACAGAGCCCGCTAATCAGCACAAGAGACCCCGAGCTGTAAAGGCATCGCACCTTTGAATAAGCAAGACAAAAATCCTCTAAGAAATGGGAAAACCCTGCTACAGTGAAGGAATTAATGGTGTGGTAGAGGCCTTTGTCTTTTTATTCTGTCCTTTTGTGCTTCTCTTTTGGAGTTTTCTTATTTCCATCACCCCTGCTGTGTCCTGTACTGGCCCAGACCGACTTGACAACACACTTCTTTTCTTAGTGCTACTGAAAGAACTGAACATTTTCAACAGAAACAGAATAAACACTAAACAGAAAAAAATACCAAAAAAACCCACCAAACAAACAAAAGAGATACAATCACCTTGAAAATTTCTCAAACTACAGGTTTTGGAATCCAGGAAAACCAAATGCTCACCATTCCATGGCCAGTGCAGGCCTGGGGGCTGCTTTCTTCCCAGCGTTTCAGATCCCTCCTGTCGGATGGTCCCATTCCAACCTGAAGGTCAGTGTAAGTGGTGTCTTCTCATTCCTCTTAGTTACTTCTCTCAGGAAAAGAGACTGGGCTAAGAACACAACCACGCGGTCTGAGCCCTGCAGCCTCATGCTGCACTCCTCTGACGTTCGTGTCTTGGCTCTCTGCCTCAGTGGTCCTGGCAGGACAGCAGCCCCCTGTCTCCCCTGGCCTCCACAGCCCACCCTCTGGCTGGTGGACTTGAAGAGGAGACGTGTTCCAGGTCCCCCTGAGGATTGGGGAGGACCTCACTGAAGTCTCCCCATTGCCTTCTGCCCAGCTCTGTAGCAGGAGGGGGGCGGCACAGCAGGCCCTCTGGGCAGAGTTCCCCACTGCCCCTCCCTGTGTGCAGCCCCCCCTGACCTCCTTGAGGGACTCTGCTGCCCCCTCCTTCCCCTGGTCTCTCTCCAGCCTCCTGTGAATGTTGGCCCACCAGCTGGTCCTCTCTCCTAACTTCATCACCCCACATGGGGCTCAAGGACATGCCTGGATGGTTTCCTATACCACCTGAAAGTGGCAGCCACTCTGTCCTTACTAACATTTCTCAAAGCAACCTGGCCACCAGGTTCCTGAGGGGACTGTCAGAGCCAGGTCCTCCTTGCTGTGAGGAGGGTAGGGAAGGAAAGAGTGAGAGCAACGCACAGACAGACCTCTGACCTCTAACCTCTAACATCTCCTCTATACTTCTCTTCCCGCCCCAACTCCCCGGAAGCAGGGCTGGGGGAGTCTGTGCTCTACCTGCTTACCTTTTATTTTTTTCTTCACTTTTTTCTGTTTACCTGGGTGGAAACTTTCTTAATTTTTTTTTTTTTTTTACAAAGCAAATCAGAGTATCCGGGAGTGGGACCTAGGTATCAGAAATGTCAGAAGTGGTGTAAAGCCCCTTGGGTGGTGCTGATGCCTCAGAGGGCTGGTACCACTGCTCTAGAAACACGGGCCCTGGTAGGCTGGGAGGGAAAGAACCATCAGATAACACTTCGCACAGCATCCTGCCACGAAATGCAGACGCCCAGGCACAGAAAGGCTAGGAAACTGGCTGTAGCTTACACAGTTAGTAGTTTTCAGTGTGAGAATCAAATGGAACCCAAGCCCATGTTCTCTTTCAGTGTGTGTGTAACGTTCGTGAGCCAGAGCGGCATACTTTCTTTGTCCTTTCCTGTTCCCTCTCATACAAGTGACTGTTGACTACGCCTTCCCTTCGGACACGTATGATTCCCACTGCATCCCCACCTCTGCAGAAAGATCAGTTCTGCAGGAGTGAACGGGAACTGCATTAACGTAACCACCTACCCATTGCAGGCGTCCTTACAAAGATGAAGAACAGAGGATGTAGATGACCTTTTGACTAAGCTTCAAAGAAGTTAAGAAAATTCGCATCATAAGTGACAAGGAAAAAGGAAGGGCATAACAAGAGTCCCCCTTGGCTAAACCATTATTTGGGGGTTAATGCAACATACCTGGTTAATTTCTTCATCCTTCAAGATTCAGTGGAGGCAAACATCTTCAAAGGGATGCTCCTCGATCTCCTCAGCAGACTGAGTTAGGAGACCTTCCTCACTGCTACCTGCACGCTGGGCTTACCCCAACACAGCATTTAGCATAGTGCACCGCTACATAAAGCATCTAACTCCCTTCTCCCCGGACCATGGACTCCCTGGGTAAAAAGGAACGGGCTCTTCACTTATATCCTTAACATATAACACAGTTCCCAGCCCAGCGTATATTCAGTAAGTACTTCTGAATGAATATCAATATTTTATTATTATAAACAATGATAAAAGATATTAAGGGGGTGGTAGCCTGAAAATTTATAAATCAGAAAAATGAGTCAGAGTTTGGATGAAAGTTCACTGACTCAAGCTGGAAAGTCATTGACTATTTTTAGCTCTTTCAACAGCTGGGAGTCAAACCTAACCTGGTGTTTAATCTCCAGGGTCAGGGGAAGGGGGGACCAGAACAACTGAATAGACTCTAAAACTGATTCAATCACTGGCTCTAATTTGTCACTTGGTGCATCCATGGTCACTACCACCAAAATCCATGTAAAAAGCCCTATGCTTGCTGTTCTATATGGCAATTTTAATGTCAATGATTACAAATCAGGAATTTATTGAACATCACAAAAGAAACACTGATGTATTTTTACACGTGCCAGGAAATCATGTGTGTTCCTTCTCTCAAGCAAAGATTTAAGAGTCCATTCATTTAAAAAAAAGATCCCATTAATGTTTATTAAGTCTGTACTTGACAGTAACTTGAGCATGGATAACATAGAACCTACTGGTTCATTCATTATTTATTCAATAAAGTTTTTGATCTATGAATTTGCATAAAGCTCTTCGGTAGGAAATATGGGGGCTCAATATGGAACTGTCACTTTACCCTGACAGATTGTACTATCTCTTTTAAGAAAGAACGAAAAACAACTTTAAAAAAGGCAACCCAAGACCAAATGTAAATAAATAGTCCTTATCATTTTACAGATGAAGAGGGTGTAGATGTGGAGAAATAGGGGAGCTCTGTAACAGCTAAAGGCCTGCATGGGAGAGACACCAGCTGATCTCTTCCTCCCAGCCCTGCTTACTAGTCGCAATGCCAGGCCAGGCTTGGAACAGAACTAGAAGCTTCTAGTCTCTTCTTGAAAGTGTGATTGCTTCCCCAACCTACAGACATGGCCTATGGGTTTTTGGATTAGAAAGTATATACACAGTTGCGTAGTTATTTGCAAGTTCCATATTTGTGATCTCACCTCCTCACTGAAATGTACTTATGGCCCCCAATCAATACAGCACTTCATGGTCATTCCCAGACGTGGGCAGATCCCCGAAAAACCTGGGCGGACAGACGCAAACCCGCCCAGCAGAGGTCAAACAAGGCTAACCTCTACCTTCTTATTTCAGCTCTCATAACGTAAAGTCCCCTTTTCACAGACTACAAATACACCATTTTTGGTGCTTTTGGTGTGTGTGTCTGTGTGTGTGTGTTATTTAAAATGGCCCGGAGCCGAAACCGGTTTGGCTCAGTGGATAGAGCGTCGGCCTGCGGACTGAAAGGTCCCAGGTTGGATTCCGGTCAAGGGCATGTACCTGGGTTGCGGGCACATCCCCAGTAGGAGATGTGCAGGAGGCAGGTGATCGATGTTTCTCTCTCATCGATGTTTCTAACTCTCTATCTCTCTCCCTTCCTCTCTGTAAAAAATCAATAAAATATATTTTTTTAAAAAAATGGCCCGGAAACACAGTGCTGAAGTGCTTTCTAGTGTCCCAGGAACAAAATACCTAAGTTTAAAAAGCTTAATAAATTTCATGCAGTATGAGTTCTGATGCTGTTGGCCCTGAGCTCAATGTTAATGAGTTAGCCAACAATATATGTTAAGGAAGATATCTTTAAGCAGAAACACACATAAAACCAGGATATATATTGGTCAGTTGACAAAAATGTTGCGTCCTGGGGGTAACAGAAACCGCACAGTATTTCCACCAGGAGCAGTAATCGTTCAGTATTGTAAATCCTCCCTCCCTCTTCTCTCCCATGGTGTTTGTCTTGGTGCAACCCAGTTCAGGGCCGGCTTGAGCCGGGTCAGGCATTTATTTGGCCTGAGCACGCGCCCTGAGCCAGGAGGGGGCGCCGTCCGCCCAGTGCTCCGCGTGGCCGGCAGGTGGCGCCCTCGGCGGGCTTTTCCCCAGCGCGGTCGAGGCCAGGTGGACTGCAAGGGGCGGAGGTAACGAGAGGCGGCCGGCGGTGGCTGCCCGAGGCTCCTCTCCCCCCGCAGGCAGAGCTCGCGACTGGGTGCAGCGAGAAGGCGCCCTGGGCCGGACCAGCTGCGCTCTGGACTCGGCCGCCGTCTGGATCTCCGCGAGCAGGTCCCCGCCGCGCTCAGCCCGAGCTCGGCCACCATGGAGGCGCAGGCACAAGGTGAGTGGTCGCCGATCGCCCCAGGGCCAGCTCCCCGGCGCGCAGAGAGGCGCTTCTCCTGCATCCCCAACTTCTCGGACAGAGCGGGCCGGTGTCAGCCTCACGGGTCCCCACTCTGCTCCCACCCGCGTCCGCGGGATGATTCCTGCTCCCCAAACTCAGGGTGAGCTGTGGGGCCAGGGCGGGTGAAGAAGACGGTAAGTGGAGAGGTTCCTCCTTAGGTGATGCGCCCACGGCATGTTCTCGCCCCTTTCCCCAGCCGGTCGTCCGGCTTCCTGAACCTCGCGAGGACCCCAGGACCTGTTGGACGGGGTCGCGGATCCTCGTTTCTTTCCCTTTCCCGCGGGGAGTGGGGAGGGAGCGCGATGTCCGCGCCTTGGGCTCGCGTCCTGCGTGCAACTCCCAAATTCGGGGCTGAGCGCGGGGCACGCCGAGATGGGGGCTCCGCGGAGACCCGGGTCCCCCGGACACGCTGGCCTCTCGGGGACCGGCCTTCCCAGGCGAGGAGAGCGTTGCCCGCCCGCTGATCTGCAGTCGGACCGACAGGTGCGCCCTGGTTTCCCGCGATCGGGGAGCTCCCTCTGCCTCCCCAGGCGCGCGGGGCCCCGCCGGTCTGGTCGCCCAGCTCCCCACTCCTGGGGCCGCGGACTGGAGGAACCTGCGACGGCTTCACGAGGGGGCATCCTTATGTCTGGGGTCACACTCGGACCGGGGCTTGGGAAGCCCGATGGGCTCATGCAGAACGGGAGTAAACGGCTGGAAAGGAGCAGAGGTGGAGGATGTGGAACAAGAGGCTGGGAGGAAGAACGCTGATTCTGGGGTCTGTCTGTCTTGGGAGCAGCGCCAGGAAGGGCTGCGTTGAGGTCAGCTTTCTGCAGCCTTTAGAACAACCATCGCGCCTTCCTTCTACACCACCGTGTAGGGAATTCAGTGATGGCTTTTAAGATAAATAAATAAAGAGGAGGTTCATGACCCTGTGCGCTCGGCCTCTAGGAGCAGAAGTGTCCCGAATGAGAGCGGTTTGGCGGCACCGGGGCCAGGAGCCATCCCCACGGGTTTGCTGCCAGGATTACAATGGTCTGAACAGCGCGAACCATTCTTGTTTGTTCCGTCAGCCAAGTTCCTGTCCATAAACTGCCCATTATCTAAATCAGAAAGGAGAATTCACCGCCCCCCCCCCACCCCCCACCCCCCGCCCGAGGCTGGGCAAATTCAAAAGCAGAGGTCGGCTCGGAGGCCTTCCCTCCCGAATGGAAGCAGGTGGGAACTTTCCAACCTGACCTGCGGATGAGGATTATTTGGAGAGTTTTAAATACCGGCCCTGGCGAGCCCCAGACCAATCAAACCGGCCTCTCTGGGGCTGGCCGTGGGTATGTCTGAAGGCTTCCCGGATCCTGCTATTACTCGGCGAGCTGGACCAAAGCTAACCCCGAAGGCGCGTGGAGCTGCAGGCTGGAACCGCGGGCCCCTGGTCTGCTGTACCGGAGAGATCTGCTTAACAGACATGCCCGTCCTTTTCTTCGCCCAACACCGTGCAGGAGAAGCAGCCACAGGTGTGATTCCTGCTTCCTGAAGTCTAGCAGAGGAAGAGGCAGACATTGCTCTGAGAGTTATTTGATAAATGTGAAATTGCAGCTTCCTTTATGACGTGGAAAGAGGGAGCCCCGGAAAGACTTTAGGCCTGGCAGGTGCTAACCAAAATAGTGAAGTTCCTTTACTGTGCCCGTTTCTGGTCTTTGTGCTTCGCATGTGTTGGCTCATTTCTTCTCCACAGTAGTCCCAGGAGGTAGGTAGTGTTCTCATGACCCTTCCACAGAGATGGAGACGCACAGGATGTAAATTCCCTGTAAACCAAGTAGGTAAGGAGGGGCAGAGGATGCTCAGTGTCCCTTCCTGCTCAAAGCCACCACCTTTAGAGGAAAGATAAAACCTCAGCCCCCCTACTCTCCCGCCCTCTCTGCCATTCTCCCCCTTCCCCGCATGAGGGGGTGGGACCTGGGTGGGTGGGGAGGACAAGTTAAAAAGGCAAATGCAGTATGCCTAGGGACACTTGTAGTAGGGTGATGGTCAGCCACGAAGAGAACAGTGAACATATTTAAAAAACATTTAGGAAAAAAATAAAAATAACTTTGATTAATATGAAGGAGGGTGGTGTCAAGGCTGACCCCAACTTTATATTTTAAAAAATGTTTTATTGAGTTTTAGAGAGAGAGAGAAAGGGAGAGGGATAGAGAGAGAGAAACATCTATGAGAGATCAGCTGCCTCCTGCCTGCCCCCTACTGGACATCAAGCCAAAACCCTGCCGAGAATTGAACCGGGGTCACCTCTTGGTTCATAGGTCAACGCTCAACCACTGAACCACACCAGCCGGGCCCCCATGTTATACTTTTACAACCAGATGAATATTTACCTCTTAAATCTTTATTTCCCCAGTACTTCACATTTTCTTTTTTTTTTATTTATTATTTTTTAATTAAATCTTTATTGTTCAGATTATTACATTTGTTCCTCTTTTTCCCCCCCATAACTCCCCTCCTCCCAGTTCCCGCCCCACCCTTCGCCCTCACTCCCCACCCACTGTCCTCTTCCATAGGTGCACGATTTTTGTCCAGCCTCTTTCTGCATCTCCCACACCCCTTTCCCCCCCAAGAATAGTCAGTCCATTCCCTTTCTTTGTCCCTGATTCTATTATGATCACCAGATTATTTATTCACTTGATTCTTAGATTCACTTGTTGATAGATGCATATTTGTTGTTCATAATTTGTATCTTTACCTTTTTCTTCTTCTTCCTCTTCTTAAAGGATACCTTTCAGCATTTCATATAATACTGGTTTGGTGGTGATGAACTCCTTTAGCTTTTCCTTATCTGTGAAGCTCTTTATCTGACCTTCCGTTCTGAATGATAGCTTTGCTGGATAAAGTAATCTTGGTTGTAGGTTCTTGGTATTCATCACTTTGAATATTTCTTGCCACTCCCTTCTGGCCTGCAGAGTTTCTGTTGAGAAATCAGCTGACAGTCGTATGGGTATTCCCTTGTAGGTAACTGGGTTTCTTTCTCTTGCTGCTTTTAAGATTCTCTCTTTGTCTTTTGCTCTTGGCATTTTAATTATGATGTGTCTTGGTGTGGTCCTCTTTGGATTCCTTTTGTTTGGGGTTCTCTGTGCTTCCTGGACCTGTAAGTCTATTTCTTTCACCAGGTGGGGGAAGTTTTCTGTCATTATTTCTTCAAATAGGTTTTCAATATCTTGCTCTCTCTCATCTTCTGGCACCCCTATAATTCTGATGTTGGTACGCTTGAAGCTGTCCCAGAGGCTCCTTACACTATCTTCGTATTTTCGGATTCTTTTTTCATTTTGCTTTTCCAGTTGGGTGTTTTTTGCTTCTTTGTGTTTTGAATCTTTGACTTGATTCTTGCGCTCCTCTGATCTGCTGTTGGGTGTCTTTATAATATTCTTTATTTCAGTCAGTGTATGCTTAATTTCTAGTTGGTTCTTTATCATAACATCGAGGGTCTCATTAGATTTCTTGAGGATCTCACTACATTTATCGGCGGTCTCACCAGTCTTTTCGAGGGCCTTACTAAGTTTATCGGCAGCTTCTAGACAATTCTTGAGAGACCTTAAAAGTGTGGTTTTGAGCTCTATATCTTCCATTTCTGACATTTGCATCCTGTTTCTTTGTCTCCGCATTTTTTTATCTTTTCTTGGTGCACCCCCTGGTGGTCTTTGTGCGCAGTCTTGTAGTTAAGCCTTGGTTGTTGTCGGTAATACCAGGGGTGATTTGACCTCCAGGCTAACTGGCTATGAGAGTCAGCTGTGTCTGCAGTGGGAGAGCTTCTGTGGTGGATCTCTAGGGCGGTGCTAATCTAGCCTTTGCCTGAGGCTATCCGGCAAATGGGCAGGGCTTGGGCGGGGCGGGTCCCTGGGGATCTACAGGGCGGGCCGGAGCGAGCAGTTATGGCTGCTCTCAGTTCCGTCCCTAGGGGCTCTGCCTCTCAGAGTCCCAGCAACTGCTGCAAACCTCGGAGAGAAAGCTGCCTTCGAGTTCTGACCGAAGCCAGACAGTCCCGCTTCTCCCGTTTGAGTCTGGGTCCCTAGAGACTCGCCCGGATCTGGAGCTCAGAGTCTGAAACTCCCTCCCGATTGAAAACAACAACTGCGCCCTCCACCCCCAGCCCGCTCCGCGCGTGCACTCCGCACCTGAGTATTTCACTTCAGCACTGCGCCTCCTCTGAGTCTGGGTATGGTATTCTCTTTCCTCCTAGTTGTAGAATTTCCACTCAGCCAGCCTTCCTGTGGTTCTGGATGATGTCTGTTCTGTCCTTTAGTTATATCTCTGATGTGGTTGTTCGAGGCAGCAATCTCCGGCGTTAACCTATGCCGCCATCTTGGTTTCTCTAAAACTACTATGGAGGAACTATAACTTCAAACTGGAACTCCAACATTAACACATTATATGATCTTGGAACAGGTGCTTGACCTCTTTGAGCCTCCTTTTCCTCACTGCCTGGGGATGCTCGGCAGCGTAGTTGTCCTGGCGGCGGCCGCTACCTGCACCGAGACCGAAGCCCGGTGGCGGCGGCAGCGGTGGCGGCGGCGGCGGATTCCACATTTTCATTTTAAGCCCCCCCCTTTTTTAAAGTTCTTTAAGAAGAAAACTATTCACAAAGCATTTATAGTTATATTAAAGAGAAAATCTTCTTTCCACTTGGCATATTTTTCTGGCTAAGTGAAGTTGACTCTTAGATTCTAAGAGAGTCCTTTGTGCAGGTTTGTGTCATCAGCACAATGTTTGTTAGAATTACCCAGAGTGAGGATGGCTTATCTTTCTGCCTCTTGATCTGGAGAGAACAGAGATGAGTGAGGTTACGTAGGCAGCTGCTGATGCGATGCCCCCTGTACCTTCCCGGAGACCAACCGGATGCTGTGGGCATCATTTGCACATGTAGTTCAATGAAGACAGCAGCCAATCCCAGAAACTGTTCCATAAGTGAACTT